ATGAAACTGAAAAACGGTAAATTCGATGTACACGTTAATAAATATCAGTCGATTGCTCTTGAATCCGATTGGGGAGACAAGACTTACGATTAACAGTGACACGACTATTCTAACGAACGAAAATATGACACTCGTCGATCCTACTGAGTCCTCCATTTTTTCGTACGTTCGCCGAACGTACTTGGAATGAGTATTTCGTCTCGCACGATCGTTTTCCATAAATATACGTATGTACATAGTCGAGCAGAAAAGAAAAAAAAATGGTAAAAAAATACGTACGTACAATGAGCCACGGAACGCAATAAAAGAAAAATCGGCACGCTGGGATAACTCGATTTCTTAAATAATTCTACGATAACGTAGACACGTTGATATCAGAGTAATTAAGTTCCCTTCTTACTGCACACGTCTTCGAGATTAACTCTGGCTTCACGGGGTCGCGCGAGATTGCATTAGCGTTCATTAGAAAAATAGATTAAGGTCGGGGTAATCTCGAACTACACGGATTCCGGGAATTCGCTGCAACCCCCCATCCCACATTTGGGGCAACAGACGTTACAATATAATGGCGGTGAACGTTTCGATTATCGACTATCAACTATTGGACCAGTTCAAAATCAGCAGCTCGATTCTCGATCTGAAAATTCGTTGATCGAATTCTAGAGAACGAGATCCCTCGCGAATACAAATGTGACATTTTAATCAACCGGGTGACCTTGAGCGGTTGTCGAAAAAAAATATTTCGATGCAGGCTTCCTAATTTGCTTTCTTCAGTCTTCCAGATTGTGTCGTATTATTACTGAAATCATTGTACGCTTCTGTCTTTCAGAATTGTAACTATAATATAAACAGATTCGATGATCATAAATATTAATCTTTTGCCTTACGATTGTCTTAGCGTCCGCGGTGGGCACAGTTACGTTATCATCGATAATCTACTAAAAAAGAAAACGTTATATTCATCATAATTATAACTGTTAATTTCATAATTACAAACGCTACTTATTCGAAATTTCAGTTATTAATAAACTACAGCTAAAGAGAACTAAAGTAAAGACAATGATCATCAAGATCAAAGCCGTGAACCCTTTACAGTCAAGAAGAAAACTGAAAGAAGATTCGTCGGCTGTGACGAAAGCACAAATCGACCTAAACTCCGAAGATATTTCTTTGAACAACCACCAGACGGGACTCCAGTCGATTAAAATGAAGCATCCTGTACAACCTCGAAGAGATCATAGAAAGAAATTGTTATTCGAACGAGTCCGCTCAGTCGATCTCGAGTTTCGGCGTGTAGGCGAGCAGATAGGACTCCATGTCGCCCATTTTGTCGATGTGCTGGCGACGGATGTGCCTCAACCAGTGGGCTTTCCGCTTGCATCGCTGCGGGCAGAACGGGCACTGAAACTGTGGCTCCTTGCCGCACTCCCAGTGGACGTGTCGCTGCAATGAGTCCTTCCTCATGTAGGATCTTCCGCACCTGCTGCAACCGAACTGTCCAGGAGGCTTCTTCCCGACGTAATTGTACGCCTTCGGTATCTTCAGCTCGGCGAACGGCAGCCCCTGCTCCTGTATCTTCCACGCCTGCACCGGAAGGTCTGCGTTCTCCTCAGTCACCATCTTGTTCTCGCTCGCCTCATCTGGAATCCCGAAAAAAGAACAGCTTTAGGCTTGTCCCTTGGCGAGATCGACGCCTCTGTTGCACTTTCACTGAGCACACACTTGGTTTTATGGGCACGGACGAATTTAATACTTCTCCGGCCCCGCTATTGATACGCTGAACCTACTTACGCCAGACCGATCGACAGAACAAACGCTGATTGTTATGTTCTATCGATTGGACACAAAGATTCAAGCACAATTCGAGTATCACGGTGGGACGGACAAGTTTTAGGTTCGTCGGTGTAGCCGGCGCTGGCATTGATCGCGATTGCCAATCGATGATGCGATTAGAAGAGATTCTAGAGGTTTCAGATTATCATGGATCGGGGAGGATTTTCAATGATTTCGTCCACTTGCGAGTTTCAAGTATCGATCTCTTAGGTGTTAAACGATATTCGTGTACAATCAGAAGCTCACTTCCGCGTTCTTCTTAGTTTTTGTTCTTTTCTTTGTTTGGAAATGTAGAATTCTTTCGAATTAATCGGATATCGTGTGTCCTCTAATTTGCTAGTGGTTTTTGTTGGAACGGAACGTACCTGTTTGGCGAGCACCTGTGACTTACGTCTACGCCTCACAACCGTTAAAGTAAGAAATAGAATAAAAAAAAATGTTTTGGGGGTAAATAAATGAAACACTGGGTCGTATCGCTGGCTTTCCGTCGCTTTTGGAATTTACTCGTCGCCAGCGCGATCGGTCGCTTTATGTAGCGGTACAGTTTACTGTGTTGGAAAGTGTCAACGTTGATCAACCGCGTTCGATTAACGTTTCTCTTCGAGTATGCTTCACGACGACGTCAAACACTCGAAACGATCCTCTTCGCAAAATTTGCAATTTTCTGTGCATTACGACGTACCTCCACCTGAAAAAGTCAGACACGGATAAACTACTGTTCCAGTACCATCTACCAGCAACCTGTATCAGAATCAAATCAATCATCCGTATCTTCCTCCTGCAAAAACAACACAGAACCTGAAAGAAAGTGACAAAAAACGAAACGCGCGTCCCTTCGAAGACACAAGAAAATACTTGTTCAAAGACTTTAAACGATTTCTGCAACGATATCCTTTAATACCCGAAGACAGTTATACAAGTTACAGTATATGCGTCATGGAAGCATCGGAAAAGTCTTCCCACTAGTGTCTAAAAAGTAGAAAACAGTCTGCCGAGGTGATCGCTTATTTAAAAAAAAGTGTATATAACAAAACCTATATAATTCATGAAACAATCATCTACTATCTATCTTCCGTAGATAAGTGGAGTTTCATCGAACACATGCGAAGATTCAGTCAAACGTCAAACTGTATCACTCAGTTTTCATTGGTCACGTAACAGGGAAAATTTTGTGTAATTTTTTCTGATGCTCCACCAGTTTGTCGCGTCTGTAGAATTTCTTCAGGCAGAGGTCGCAGTGATACTTTGGCTCCTCGAAGTGCAGTTTCATGTGCGCCGCCAAGTTGTACTTGTACTTGAACCATCCCTGGCATATATTGCACTGATATCTCGGCGCTTTGCCGCATTCGACGCGCAAATGTCGCTTCAGACAGGACTTCCGCATGTAGTGCCGACCACAGTTTGGACACTTGTACATCAACTGGCCGCGAGTTGTGAGAACCGGCTCCAAGATGGCACAGTTCTTCGTCATCACCGTCGACGGTGCTCCTGTTTCCTGGATAATCGCGTGCCTCTCTTGCGGGTGCAGCTGTCGCCAGTAACCTGAAACGAAAAGAAACCATGAAGAGGATGTTCCGATCGTTTATAATACGGCTGGCCACGTGTTAGCGTAACTATCTTCCGGATTATTCGAAAATTCGAGGACCTTTCAATTGCACATCGCACTCTTTACAGGGGGCATTCAAAAAGTTCCTGGAAAATGTTTATTAATCGTGAATAAGATACTACATAGTTAATCAGTTTGGTTTGTGTTTTACGAGGTATTAGTGTTTAACTTAAATGGAATATACATTGGGAAATAAAGCGCTGAATTCAGTTTGCTGTCGTTTTATTTACATTTTCTGGGAACTTTTTGAACTCCCCGCGTATTACCTGGTCGCTTCGAGACGATGTATCTCCGTTTCAGGTCGCTGTTGATGAAATTATTAAAATTACGTAGAATCACAGTGTTACTTGTTACTTGTTCAGGATGTCAGGTGACGGGAGAATTATTTTGTTCACGGGAAAACGTGTTTGTTTTTTCTTCCGAAGAATCTTTAGTATTTGTACAGATATAAAACGCAGATTCGCATGCAACAAACAAGAAGCGTTTCGGGAAATATAATTTTTATTTTTCGTAACAATAGATATGAATTGTTCGAATGGTTAACTCAAACGGGAAAGACGTAATAAGACACTATTACATGGTAATTCGTAATGGATGCGGAGTTCTTAACTGTATACACGAGACACGCTGCACTGTACAATGGCCACGGGGAAAGTACAGATCCATTAAACGATTCGACGATCGCAGCTTGCCTCGGATCGTTAAATCCTTGTCTATAAAATTCAACTACAGTTCAAACCGTAAGAATAAAAATTGTGACAATAAAAATTCAATTGCGAATTTACAAAGGTTTTATGTCTCGGAAACACAAAGAAACTAAATTGTATCGGAAAATTAAACATTCTTCTATGAAATAAGTCCAAAAGCTCTGCCCATTTCGAGTAACATAACAAACACGACTATTTTTAATACTTCTCTACTCGCTATATAAATATGTATACACATGTTCTCTATTTAGCTCAACCACAACTCAAATGAATAAATTAGAAATATAAACGATTGATCTAACACGGAAATTCTAACATGAAATCAGAAATAATTCCCACAATTACATGGGACAGTCGATAAACCTTAAAAATGGTGAATAAAGAATATAGTACCAACAGACACATAGATGATATTAACAAAAAAAATATTAAGAATAATCGTACTGTCCTATCACTGAAAGTCAACAGAACTTTGGTACTTACAAATTCATTCAAGTTCATCTCAGATATAAGCGCAAGTGTAAAGTAACGCGTGAATTTCCCCTTCGGCATTGAAATCTCCACGTTCACGTGAAACGCTTTTCTTATCCCAGCGTTAAAGTCGCCTGAGCACGCGACGAGCGCGCGCAGCGTCTTTCCTGTCCCGGCATCGAAGTCTCCGGCGCACAGTGATTCAAACCGTACAATTACAAGGAAAATAGACTAAAGATGAAAGTAAGAGAACAGAAGTATCGGCGAACGTTTCATGCACTATACATATTACTTAAACAAAACCTCTAAATCTCTGGTAATACATTAATCGGCAATAAAATAAATCACGAAGACTCCATATAAGAGCATACATTAGAGAGTTACGAACTTCTTCGATGGAAATTTCGCCCCAGTTCAAGAACCGTTAACCCTATCGATTTGATTTTTCTCACGTTCGATTCGGAATACCTACAGGAATACATAAAAAGATCGTATTGCGATGAATAGAAAAAATAATTCTAGAATTTTTACGCCTTGATACGACAATCACTGGATCACTGTGCGGTTCCGTATCTCGCGTTCACGCGCAACAACTTCCTTCTTCGAGCGTCAACGTCTCCAGCGTCGCCTGTCAGGCAATCCTCTCCTCTCTATCGAACTTGGAGGACTTCACATCTGCCACGTGAACATTATAATGTCTCAGCAAACTGTGCTTGTGCTTGAACTTCGCGTGGCACAGGACACATTCGAACTGCGCCTCCTTGCCGCACTCGAGCCTCTTGTGCCGTTGCAACGATATGATCCTTCGGTACTGTCTGCCGCAGGTGTCGCACGGATACGTCTCGAAGCTGACCGGTAGCCGGTACCAACACGCTGAAAACAGAAATTCTCGGTTAGCAGAATATCCTCGTGAACCAGAATTATTTTCTCATATCCGCCAACGGGTAC